TCTTCCAACTTGGCATGTGTGGGTCACAATAATTGTGTGTTCTGGCAGCTAGTGACTTCTAATCAAGGGAGTGAACAGCAGAAATGGACAATTTTTACCATTAGATAGTGATGAATATTGCAGCCAGTTTACAGACAGGATTGTTATATTTCTTATGCGTGAACACCTGCACAAGAAGCAAACAGTCCTGCAGAAGTAGTTATACATATATTTCTTCCTAGTATCACGGTACAGAAACAAATACCTTACTCTAGTCAGCGAGCCACAAAAACATGTATCCAAGTGCTTGATGAACCATATACATTGTGCACAGTAAATTTTCTCCACTAAACATGATCTTGTTACGGTTTTTCGCCCTTCAATCTTTCTAAGAGCGATGAAGTATGCAATCAAACACCGGTTTTAAATAATAATAAAAAGACGCCAAAAAAAATTCTAGAAACAAAGACCCAAAGACAAAGATCTGAAAACTAAGAGCCGGACACCTAGACCAAAAAATTAATACTATGTACTTGTAGATATTTTTTCTTTGTCAAGGAGGAGGTTACTAGCTCTTGCACATCTGTTGTACTGAGTGAATAATACAAAAGGGAGCCATCATCAAATGGTTAGACAAACAATTCTTCTGATTCTTTGTTTAAGTGTAGTTGGGTAAACCCTTGTGAACATGCTGGGTTAAGTTTTCAAGATAACATGATCACAGTTTTAGGCATTTATGAGAGAACTGGACTCCAGTGCTAATATTGTGGGATGTATTAATTAGAATATTTTGGTTATTGAAGTATATGTTGTCATTTTACTTGAATGGCTTCTGAGTATCTGCCATATAAATGAAATTACTCACAATTCCAATCAATTAGTCAATTCCGATACATGATATTTAGGGGGAGGCTCTCATAGAAAAAGTAAAAATTTCTTAGAATTTCAATTTGTGCCTTTTTATCGACAATTCATTCTTACCTCATGTCAAAACCATGAGACAATTAGACATGCATCTGGTAGTGCATATATGAGAACTAGATTATGGCAAAAGTCTGTTAAAATTGACCCCCTTTCAGTTCATCAAGTAACTAAACTGTCTAAAGGAAAGAGCACCATAGCATATTTTCTTCAACTCTTAGGAAATCTCCTTAACTGACATTATTTGCCATTCTACATCTCTTTGGAAATATCACATTTAGTCTCCTAGTCTCCTCGATGGTCTTCGACATATCTCATCAGTGCGGGTGAGTTAATTTGAGAATATCATCCAACTTGACATGTATGGGTCGGAATACATTTTGTGTGTTTTATATGGAGATAAACAAATACACATACAGGAAGCAATGCTGTAGTTAAATTATACTGCTCTTAAATTTTTTTCTTTTTTTAGGTGAGTTTGAATACCTTATGGCTGTACAAATACGTTAAAAGTCGCCAAAAAGTGCTCAAAACATAGCGAAAAAATTTCTCAAATAGTGCTTGATTTCTATAAAGAAAGTGCTTGAAAATTAGACATTGTGCAGGAAAGATGCTCGCGGTTAAGTTTCTGTTTGTTTTTTTTATTATTTCCTAGCAGAGGGTTTAGACACATTCCTAGTTTTATCAGTCTTTTAACTCTCGGTTTTCTATAAAGTATAACAGCGTTTGTCGCACAAAAACTCTTTAATATCAGTCACTGAGCATATAGTTTCTAAAGCACACAGCATCACTGAACTATAGTGGATTTTATTGTATCGAAGAATTACAAAAGCTTCAATACAAGAGCGCTAAAAGTTTTGGAAAAACACGAAGTCACGAACCACTCAAAATCGACTGTTCCCACGCTTAAAAGGACCATGGCTCGTGCATTTCCATAACAACAGTCAGCCGGTCAGGCGACAAGGTTGAGTTATCTCTAATTAATGCTCATGATAATAGAATTACGCGGCCTAACCAAAAACGTTTCAAAGACAAATTATTGCATTTAACATATGGAAAATTGTGAAAAATGTGCTGAAATATTTCTCAATAACTGAAAAACTCCTCAAATTCTACTCAAGAGTGCTAGAGATGTAAAATAGTGCTTCAAATTCGAAAAAGTGCCAAAAAATTCCACTAATCGAAAGCTAGAATATTCCATGGTACGCTGTAATCTCAACAGACGCTTGTATCCTTACACTTATTGCTTCTTTAAATCGTGCAAGAAAATCCCTTACATTTGAACGACGTAGCAAAGAATACAAATTAATTCATTTAACAACACAGTTTGAGTTATATTTTATAAGTCTGTCCATTTCGCTTTCGACTTCCGTTCCGCTTTAATAAATTTTGATTCTACCATGTTGCTTTATACGTTGGAAGAATAATATACCTTCGAAATTCAGAGGCTACCAACTGTAAAACTTAGCTTACACATACCAATAAGCTTGCTGAGTGAAAGAACTGAGAAGAAGTTGACAATATGTGTTTCTTAGGCGTCGTTTCTTTATGTGCGTTAAACG